GTAGTGTGTTTTATAGTTGATTTTATAGTTATGGGGATCAAGTTCTGGACTTATTTAGGTACCTACAGAGTAGACTAGATATATTCACTCAAAATGCTCCTAGCATCCATAGGACAATATGACAGACTCAATAAATAAAGACATACCCAATTGAATACTTTCAAATATCATTTTTGAAGGCAATTGCTCATTCTTTCAATGCTGTATTATTGTTTACTCGATGGGCATCAACTATGGCTGAATCGTCTCCCCGCTCTACCTATCTAGTCAGGGCCACTGAACCATGGCATGGCGCCTTTTTGGGCGTAAGTAATGGAATTTCAGCCCCTGAAACGAGCAACACAGTATAGCTAAGGCAGATCCTCATCATCACCAACTCTTTATTTCACTGCCTGGTTTTCTACCTTCATTATTCCTCCTTCCTTCTCATTTTCTTCTGTGTTTTGGTGTCTTTTTTTGTGTGCTTCCTAATTCCCCATGGTCCCTCCTTTCTGTCTTGTCTGACTCTTTCCACTTGTCCCACCCCCGATCTTCATGTGGTTGTCCACTCTTGTTATACCAGATCCAATCAATCCACTTTCATACATACATCACATAGTGTTCGGTGCACGCTAGGTAGACGTGCTGCCCCATTCTGGGCTGCAGTTGTGCCAGTTGATCCCTTGGACACCTGGGCGTCGACCTAGTTGTCTGTCGGTCTGCTATCTGGCATCCAGCTTTGGCAATTGTTAGACTCAATTATTGACTGCCTTATAACTGTTTCTTCTTTCCTTTTTCCCGCCTGGCCCTGCCTGATTCCTTGGTGATCTCCTTTCTCCTGTCTATTCTGTAGTCTTATTTTCTTTTTTTTTCTTTTTTTTTCTTTTTTTTTTTTCCCCTGCCCTATCCCGCCAGTTTGATCCTTGCATTTTCGCACGGTGCATTGCGAAATTCGCAGAAACTGGTCTGTCAATCCCTTGATCTGTTTGCTATCTATGTCCATCGGTTTGATCCGCATTTTCGAGACGCGACCTTTCTACTCCGCCCCTGAGTACATTTTCCTGATTAGCCAAGCAACATAGCAGCGGTTTTCTATCCATTGGAGCCGACATCCGTGGAAGAAAGATGCCCTTTTTCACTCGTGTCTTTCGGAGTAAGGACTCCAATGCTGCAAAGAAAACGACCAAGAACCCCGTTGTCGAAAACACGGGTCCCGCAAAGCCCACATGGACCGACGCGTGGCAGCGAACCGAAGTCGCTCCTGAAGAAGTTCAGGAGCTCCTCCGTGGATGCACTCAAGAATTGAAAGCTCGAGGTATGTTTGATTGTTTGTTATCATGGATTTCCAGTATCGGATTGTCAATTACTGGCGCCCACTCCACTGTCAAATCTGAGACATCCACATTCTTCTGATCGCTGATCCTTGCTTCGTTTTGTCCCATTTGACAGCTCTCCAAACACCATTTCTACTATTACCGTTCCGTCCGACCACCGAGTCCTCCGATGCACGTTATTTCATCCGTAACTACTTTAATAAGTCTGTCGAGAAGGGCGCGCCTTGGAGTGGAGATGCATTGTCGCAAGAGCTACGACTTACGGACCCGACGGTAAGCCCATAGCGGCGGATCGCCCACACGTCGCAACATAACATGGCTGACCGGTTCGATGCTCAATCATAGGTCCTCTGCAGTGTCTTGAAATGGTGCTGGAGCAGACTCCCCGGAGGAGTTGTCACCTGGGACGCGTATGAACTTTTCAAAGTCGGCGAACAAGGTATGGGTTTACACTACATAACGGCCGGCGGCAGGTTGCATAAGGGCTGATCGGATCGCAGATTCTCAACTCGCCCGCGACGCGTTCTCAACATTCATCCCAATCAGTGTCGACTCGGATGCTAGAACCAAGATTATTTTCGACTTTTTCGACCTGCTAGCTGCCGTTGCAGCACATGGCAAGTCCAACGGTCTCGGAGGCCGGAAGCTCTCGAGGTTTGCCGGCTGGTGGGCTTTTGAGCATTCGGATACGGGCAATGGCTTTGAAGCTGCCTACAAAAACTGGGCCGCGTAAGTTTTCTTTCAATCGAATATAACTGGACTGAATTAGAAGTGACTGATTGACTGACCATTTATTTCAGCGCTGCTGATGCCACGAGCCATTTGTTCTTCGCCTATCTCCGCTCGATATCTCCCGACTCTCCGCGTGGTATAAGCGGTATCTCGACCTTGCCCATCGCTCTCCAATCCCTGGTCCAAGCAACGGAGTACCCCCCTGAAACGCCGACCCTTCTGCAGGTCTCGACCACAAAGGTCGTCATGATCGTTGATACCGTCTCACCGACTCCGTTCGCCCTCTTGCGACGTGCGAAGAACTTCGAATACCGGGACAGTGACCGACATCTGCAGGAATTCGCCAGCTTTGACGACCCCGTCAAGGCCCTCACCGACGAGTGTTTGCGTGTCTTGAAATGCATCTCGTCAACGAATCAATCCAGTACCTCCGACCCGACGACATCGGTGCCAGAAGCGTCCTGGTCGCGGTTTGAGGATCTGGGATTTGGCGCCGCCGACTTGGACAACGATGCGGATGCGACTTCGTTAGCAAGGAACGAGTTTGCGGGCGGTCTTCGGTCCGCTCCTCATTCCGTTGCGGGGGATCTTGGTCGCCCTACAACTCCATCTTGGGCAGATTTCATGTCCTCCGGCTTCAATGACGGCAACGGCTTCAAGCCTCAAGTTGCTCCTTTGCTCCTTCCGCCCGACAAGGTCCTGCCTCCAATTGCTACCGTGCGAGGCCAAAGCTCTCAGTCTCACAAGCGTACCCTGGACTCAGAACCTCCGGTCGAACCCGCCGAGCTTGCCAGCATCACCACACTGGATCTGGACGACTCTTTCTGGTGGGTCTGGATCAGCAGTCTGGCCGTAGAGGAGCCTGCTTCGCGGAAGGCGGTATTTGGTAGGTGCGCATTGATCGAAACGATCATCAAGGACACAAAGTGGTTAGTTCTTGAGGAGCAGGTTAAAGGCGCAGCGCCGGAGCCTGAACCAGGTGCGTACATTGTCGAGAAAAAGAGGTTTTTTACCTTCTCATCTCGCAAGGGAAAGATCGGTCGGCGCAAGTCGTCGGCCAAAAAAGTGTCTGCCGTTGAAGAGTCTTATAAGCGCGCCAACAATCTCGCTCCTCATAGTAAGACTAGCATTGCACCTGATCAGCATGCTCGCATTCAGGCTGCTGCCGCGGCTTTGCAGAAGAAGCATCGGGAACAGGAGCAGGAGGCCGTTAACAGATCGAAGGCTAGCGTGCCGAACGACTCGCGATACTCGAAGGCAAACTCCGTTATGTCTTTGCAACCGGGAATCATGAGTGAAGCTTCGCAAGCGATGAAGTGGGCTAGCAATTATGACAAGAATGCCTATCGCGCCGCCTATCTCAAGGACAGCCGGGCCGGGACAGGTACGCTGGCCGAGGAAAATGGGGCGGCCGTGAACGGCAAGCTGCCGGAGCCGCCAGCTTCTCCGGCACTGAGCTCATCAACCCGCCAGGCGCCACCTCCGGTGCCCAAGGACAGCGTGCCAAGCTCTCCCACACCGGTTGAGCATATGCAAAGAGGCAGTGTGGACGAAAATGCCGCCAGCAGACAGGACAGTATCAGTGCTGCTGCTGAATCTCTGCCCAAGCAGTCGACTGACACGACAGATGATTCGAGAGCCAGACTAAAGAAGAAGCCTGGTAACACAGGCTTCAAGGGTATGTTCGGAACCAAGAAGAAGAACGACCTGGAGTCGAAACCGCCAATGAAACCTACTGGGGCTCAGCCGTCGGCTGTTGCTGCTGCCCGTGCGGCTTTGGAAGGCAAGGCCAAGGAATCCCAGGAGACAGTTCGCCCCAATGGCGCCTCGACTTTGAGGAAACCCGTTCCAGCTCCGGCGGCGGCTCCCCCCGCTGCTCCGGCCGAAGTCGCAAGCCCACCGGAACGCGTGGAGAAACCAGTCCCTGAGAAGCAGACCGTCACTGCCGACGAACAGCATGATGGGCCCCCGAAGACCCGTCGTGATGCTGAATACGATGCACTTTCCCGCGTAGACACCAATGAGCGAACGGCGGCCGATCGTGAATTCTCTCGATTTGATCAGGGCCCCTTGGTGGAACAGCCAGCATTCGCTCCTGAGGATTCTCCTGTCTCCGAAACATTCCTTGACAAGTCCGCGCCTGCTGCCACTGTTAGCGAAAACCCCGACAGGACCGAAGTTTCTGAACGTGCAACGAGCCCTACGGCAGCCCCGGCCAATTCATCTTATGACCGCTGGGCACAGATTCGCAAAAATGCCGCGGAAAGGGCCGCTAAGCTTGAGCAGTCCGGTTCCTACCGATATAGCCAAGATGAAGGTAATACAAGCGAAGAAGAGAGTAAGTGGAGGCGGTTCCCTTGAACTGGCAATAACCATTCTGACTCTGACCAGGCTTCGAGTCTCGTGCTGCTCGTATCAAGGCGAGAGTGGCCGAATTGACTGGAAATATGCAGGCTGCAAGCTAAAAGACGTCTAATCTCGGCTTGGCCACTCCGATTCAAGACTATCTCACTTCCATAAGCCCTTTGTTGCTTTACTTTTGCCTCATTGCCTGGTCCAGTGCCCGGCTGCCTTCGATCGGTAGACTTTATACGCCCTGATGTTTCTGATACTCCTTCCATGGCAAGCTCTCACATTTGACAGCGAAAGGACTACAAAATGACGCCATTATGCCGCTTGTTTTCTCGCCAGTTTGCACTCGACATTGTAATATTCTGGTCGATTCCTCTATCTTCTTTCGATGACCAGATGTGATTCTATTTTTCTATCTCCTGTCGCTTCAATTCGTGATTTCACTTGATTCCCCTCTTGTTGTATGTTTTCTGCGTGTTCTTGTTCCATATACCTTGGCAGACTTTCTGAATCCAGACAATTATGCTTTTCGTCTCTTGACGCACCCCTTCTGACACTCAGCCCAATGTGACTCTGAACTATGGTATACTCGGGCCAACGAGATCAATCGCACCCCAATACCCTCAGAATCTCTCTAGCCACGCCAGCCGCACTGGCCGGATTCTGCCCTGTAATCAGCGGCGAGTGCAGCCCGGCCGTCGTAGATACAACCACCTTCGTCCCAGATCGGTCCGCCTTGACATATCCACCCCCAGATACCCGCTCCAGCTCCGTCTCCAACTGAAACGGCATAGCCGCCGCCATTCCCGCCGCATCCTCCTCTTCCCTCGAGAACCCCGTCACCCGTGCTCCAGCAAGCAAAGGCACCCCCGACGGCGCCGTCGCATTCAGCAGCGCCGCAGGCCCATGGCTGACCGCCGCAATGGGCTTCCCCGCCGCCGCGACATTCTGTATCAGGGCAAGCGAAGCCGCGTCCCTTACGAGGTCAAACATCGCTACCATCATCATTACCATCAACATCAACATCACGTAATGTAAACCTCAGGTTGTAGATCGTAGACATAGACATACCCCCACGCCCACCCACATAGAACACCGCATCGAACTCCCCCGCTCCCGCACGGGCAACCATCTCCCTGATCTTATACGTGTGCGTCCAGGCCTCCCAGTGCCGCGCTAGAGCGGTGATGTCGGTTGTATCGGATTCTGGTCTCGCGGAGGCTGAGGCAGAGGCTGGGTCGAGGGGCGCTTCGCCGCCTTGGGGGGAGGCCATGGTGAGGGTGACTTTGGGTTCGAGGATGGAGTATGGGTGGGCGAGTTCGGACTGCGGGGTGTTTCCCATTGTCAGTTGTGCGTGGTGGAATGGTTGAATGCTTGGGGGGAGGAGTGTGGGCGTAACGTACCAGGTGCCAGCCTGTTTGTTGGCGGGTGGCGGGGATTAAGCCCTGCGAGGTGAGGATTATGAGGACGTGGGGCATTTTCACCTGTTCCCTCTGTTCAGTTGATGATATGGAGAGTATGTGCCGGTTGTTCGGTAGAAGTATGCTGACTGACTGGCTTGATGGGACTATATCAATATATCGTCATCTCCTACGTCAGTCAGGTGCTACTGACGCTGGGACCAGGCAAAAACCTATGTTCATATTATGTATTATCATTAGTTCACTATATACCAACCATTGGCATGGATGGTTGCCATCAGATCTAAGAAAGGATATATCCAGAATGTATATAGAGTCGGACGATCTGGGTATCAACGGACATGAAACAAGGGGAGCCAAACGATGCAAGACAAGAAACTGAGTAGGAAACGAGACTCGCTGATCGTACATCGTCAGGGGAATACATTGAGATGCAGTTAAGCACTCAGAGCTGTCAGCGAGCATAGCGTAGTCGTCGAGTAGCTTCAGCGGCTACAAGTGCACACAAGGCACCCACAAACAGGCAGATGGATATAGCATTAGGACCCTCTTTATCTCGGCGTATCCATTGCGAGTCCTGCGCGGAGTCGTCCCGTTTCGTACTACCGGGTTCAAGGAGGCTGAAGACTATCCAACTGATGAATGTGCCGACAAATTGCGGTAGCGTAGTGTATACATTCAACACGCCGAGGTAGATACCAGCCAGTTCGCCAGTGGAAGGAATATTTGCGTCGTCATCGGAATCGCTGTCGCTATCCGTATCATGGTGGTTGAGTCGTAGGACGTCCATCTCCGTGTCCGTGTCATAATTGCCGGAACGGATAGTAGACGAAGTAATCATGGTCACGCCAGAAGAGCGCGCTGCGGCTGCAGGTCCCATCGCCAGCTTGTTGATTTCCACTCCCATGAATGCAAAAGGCGCCCAGCTGCTGATCGCCCACGGAATACCACACAGGGCGACGAGGCATGTTGCAAATGCCCGAGACCGGGCCAGAGGTGCAAAGATCATGGTCACAGCAAACATCACATGAGATATCATCCATGATGTCTGCAGGTCTGGTCGTATCGCAGTGATCTTCTTAAGAAGTGCAGCTATACCAGGTGGTGGGCGGGGTGTAAATCTGGACCGTTTGCTGTCCGGAGGTTGCACACAGAACGGTAGAAGCACAGAGCTGATGAAAGTGATGGAAGAGAAAACGACCAGAGACAGACTGCCGACGCGTCCAATTTCGCCGAGAAAGTCGCTTGACTGTGGAGCGTCTTTGGGGACTTCGTATCGGAAATAGGTCTCACCGACCCAAGTAGTACTGTAGAAAAGGAAGGGGAACCAGCCTAAATCGAGTCAGCAACAACTTCTAAATCTTCTCGAAAGATGCTATACCAATCCAAGCCCAGAACTGCGCCCAACAAATTGCCTGGATGCGAGGAGGAAGGTCCATTGTCGTCTTGAAAAGCTGAGAAATGACTTGGACCGCTCCCGCTTTTCCATCGGAGTCCCTGCATGATCAAAATTAGCACTAATATAGACAAGCTGATTCTGATTATGGTCACCTGGCAGTAATCAGGATCCTCTCCTCCACCGAATAACAGGTGACGGAAACAGCCCCGATCAGCGAGAGTGCAGCAATGACTGTCATCTGTTTGAACTGCGTATCGCCGATAATGGCGCCGAAGAGGCTGACCGTATCGATTGAACCAATGACATAGCTAATCAGCTGGCCAATTGCGGACATTCTTGTTGCTGAAGGTCGTTAGCTTTTGGCCTCGTGAGCAAAGGTAGGATCCATACCCCATGCTGAACCAGCTTGTTGCAATGGAATCGGTAGTGTGTCAACGATCAAGCTGCGACAACAAGCCTGGACTGAAGGATGTCAGTATAATTCAGATGAGTGCGTCAACATGCTCACCGATATTGATCGCAAAGTCAACTGCATAGATACTCAGGACGGCAAGGGCTATGGTGACATTTTTTGCCTGGTAAAAGTGAGCGGCGGAGTCGCAACAGATGTCAAAACCCGGCCCCGAATAGAATAGACACACCTTCTCTGCATCTTTCACAAATAGGCTGACGATTTCCGTCGTCCACCCCAGCACTAGCAAACACAATGCGACAATAAACGAACCAACGACCATAAATGGCCTGCGCCTTCCCCATTTCGAGCGTGAACGATCCGCAATAACACCGATCAAAGGCTGAATGATCAACCCAGACAAGGGGCCAGCAATCCACACAAGTGAAGTCCGTGACTTTGTAAGGCCCAGCTGGAGCAGGTACGGCGTGCAATCTATTTCGAGTGCGGGACTGGTCAAATCGCAAGACGCGGTGACTGCGGTGGAAGGAAAGGCTTACAGGTCATTTCAATGCCCCATGTAAATCTGCAACAGGGAAATAATCAGTGATCCGGTTGCTGAGCAAGATCAAAAACATCCGTAGTGGTAAACGAAAGTACATACTGTAACCCCAACAAGCTGAATGTCAACAGTGCCATTCGCATCGACTCCGATTTTCCCTTGATGGAGGGAGAACCCACCCATCTTGCAGCCTGTGGCATCCTTACGACACCTGCATCCACCAGAAGGTATCCAACAGTATCCTCAGTTTGCCATGCACCGGAGTTATATTTGTAGTCTCGGGCTGTTGGTCAAGCCGAGTCGCAACAGCCTGGTCGCAATGAACCCGCAATCGCCAATAAACAAACGATCCTCGTACGTATGCAAGTTTCTAGCAGCGGAGCGTCACGAATACCGATTCAATTGTTAATCTGTGGTCGAATGTGTAGTATGCTTTTGCACTGTCCGACTCGATAAAATGACCGGAGTTGGAATTGTTGATTATTAGCTCCGTAGGGTCCCCGATGCGACGAAATTGGATGTTGGTCAATGGAAGGCGAGAAGCCGATGTTTTCCACAATCACATCAGACTAGGATAGGGAGGATTTGATGCAGAATAAAGAAAGGAAGAAAGGCAGGGGGAAATAGGAAGAAGATCATGAAGGATTGAGGTGAGGCCGAAAGCCCAAGATGCCCAGTGCTCAACTGCCAGAAAAGTGCAAATCAACGCATGCGGGCCCCCGGGCCGTCCATGTACTGCGGTTTAGGTCTAATCCGCATCGGTTGGCACTCTTAATCTCCTGTGACCCACCAGCCATGAGGTAGTTGTTATTAATAGCCAGAGAAAGATGATGATGGCCGTTCTCTAGGATTCAGTTTATCTAGAGTTGGCTTGACAACCCCAGCTACCTGGGCGAGGCATGTGTCTAGGGACGATCTACAAATCCCCCAGCTATGTGCACACACCGCCCCTTATTCCGGCTAAGACACCAACATGTGTTGAAACATAGGGATTGACTCGAAGATTTTACCTTAAGCTTACATTACTCACAAAGACGATATCCTTTCAATAGGCGATACGGCTTGCATGTTAAATACCCACATCCGTTATACCGGCGTCCTGGTCTGATCTTGTTCATAAGCAGCTTCATTTCTAATAACATATCAAAGCATATCCGGCTGATCAAGCACTAAAGAGAACCCTGCCATAACGACCCAGACATCATGAAATCAACGGAAATTCGTACATTAATGCTTTTTCTTATTTCATAGTCATGCAATATCCCATCCCTCTACAAACGGTTGGGGGTAGTGCTGGTCATGGGCCACTGGTAACCAGCAGCGTCACTGAATTTGTAGCCAAACGAAGCAGTGAAGTCATCAAGAACAGCGGGTCCTCGGGAGCCTTTGACCGGATTAGTAATGATACCAATCAGAAGAGTATATTATGGCACATACCGTAGGGGTATTCCATGGGGATGATCTCCTTGTTGTCGTCAAGGTAGTGCAGGAGAGGCGTGAAAATCTTCCAGCTTGCGTCGAGCTCATCGTCACGCACAAAGTTAGAGTGGTCACCCTTCAGAGCGTCCAGGATGAGCGATTCGTAGGCTTCGGGAATCTTCAAGTCAGAGAAACGGCGGCGATAGGTGAGATCCAGCTCAGTCATGACGGTCTGCATGGACAAGCCAGGCAACTTGGAGTTCATCTTGATGTACACCGATTCGTTGGGCTGCACTCGGATAACCAACTCGTTACGAGGGATATCCTTGAAAATACCAGATGTGACATCGCGGAATTGAATACGGATTTCGGTCTTCTGCTCATTCAGGGCTGTGTGAAAGGTAAGTATGCGCGCGACTCTAGCGGTCCGAAAAGTAAACCATGCTTACCCTTTCCAGCCTTCAAAATGAAGGGAACACCATCCCATCTCTCGTTCTTGATGTATGCAACCATGGCGCAGAATGTCGGGCACCGGGAATCCTTAGGGACAGTGTCGTCCTCCTTGTATGCGGGCTTGCTTCCATCCAGAGACTTCCCATATTGGCCGATGATGACGTTCTTGGGTTCGATGGGATCCATGGCACGCAAGACACGAACCTGGGATGAATTAGTTTCGCTCGTCGCCCCTGGTCACTTAGCTGAGTGGCCTACCTTCTCGTCACGGATATCTTCAGAGGAGAAGGAGATGGGACGCTCCATGGCGAGCAATGTCAGGACCTGCAGCAAGTCTGAAGAGAACATCAGCATCGCTCATTCACGCAAGTAGATGGCAGAAACATACGGTTTTGCATGACATCACGGATAATACCGAATTCATCGAAATAACCACCACGACCCTCTGTACCGAAAGGCTCCTTAAATGTGATCTGCGGCAGGAGCGAACCTGTCAGCAAGTTGCTCTCGATTCGGAGTAATTCAAGCATCCCATACCTGTACATTGTCGATGTGGTGACGGTTCCAGGTGGCGTTGAAGAATTCGTTGCCGAAGCGCATTATAAGGATGTTCTTGACCATCTCCTTACCCAGATAGTGGTCAATCCGGAAGATCTCCTCTTCCTTCCAGTTTGGGTCAAGGGCTTTCTGGAGGTCACGCGAGCTCTGAAGGTCTTTACCGAAGGGCTTCTCAACCTGTATACGGCGAAAACATGCGCATCAGATGTTGCTCTTCTCTTCGGATTGTGTCGGGAAACTCACGATGATCCGAGCAATGCCGTTCTTGGGATAGC